GGCACTTTAGGCACTTTGCTGAGACTGGGACCATGCAGTGATTAACAGAACTGTGCAAAATTTGGCCTCCTTTTGATCTATTAACTGTCCATAAACAAAGGGCAGTTTCCAAACAGTCATTTTTCCCTGTTCCAAATTATTTTCTTATAATGTTTTATGCTAGTGCAATTCTGTTGGCATTGTTTACACCTTATGAGAGGAACACCAGATTCAGAATCTGCAAACAATATTAAAATGCTGCAATTTTCTAAAGAATGGGTCAAAACCTCTCATTGTGGTATTCAAAACGTCATACTTGTGCTATTTAAGTAAAAAAAATACTCTTTTTTTCCCAATTTCTATGAACATATACTCAAATGCAAAACAGTTTCTAAAATTTCACTTTTCAGGACAGGCTATATACTTCATCTGCAGTGTAAAAATTAAAGCCATGAAGCTCCCAAGTGGGCTAAGAATTTCAGATTCCATTTTCCCTCATCATCTAATGCACATTAGTCCTTGAAACAATGCCTGCTCTGGCACCTTAAAGGCAGAAAAGTTTATTTGGTTTGCTCAGAGTATTCCATAATTAAACCCAATGAAGCTTTCAGTGCGAGTTATTAACTTGGTGGTAGAAACAGACATTTCTTAAACAAAAAACAATTATATCAGATGTGATTAATAAAATTTTTAAGCACACAATAATATCTTATTACAGTAGTGTTATATTGCAATGCTGTCAATCCCAATTGTTAAAAAATGCTTCAATTCACATTACTTTAAATAATACATTTGAGGATCACACACTTGCTCTTTTATAAGGCATTTTAATATTTTCAGGCATTGCTGCCCTGGTATTTAGAAGCAGGCCACTGGAGGACAGAATCTACTAGGTTATTCCAGCTCCTGTGGATGGACAAGGAGAACCGCCATTTCACACTAATTCCACGCAGTGAGTGGAATCTCCACCTCTCTGATCTGCTGCCTCAGCCCAAGAGCACACCCTAAGCCTACCAGTCAATAAGACTAATTATTCAGAGTGTCACAGTTCAGTGGGAGCTGTATGTGTGAACATGATGGATTCTCAGCATTATGAAGAGTTAGTTCTATACTCCTAGAGCCTCTTTACTGGTATAATAAGTTGCATGATCTACAATGAATAAAAAAAACATTTCATACAGTTATAGTCTGCCAGGACTAGAGCTCAAACCCTGTGAAATTCTCCTTGCTTTAAATTATGGAGATTCAAATCCTTTTCAATAGCTGAACAAAAGCCATTGCTATGCTTTATTTTCCTTCCCAAAATAAGTCTAATGCAGGCAAAAAAATGAAGACAGGCTTGTCAGTAATGCCAAGCAGAAAAAAATGACATATAAATCACTGAAAACAACATTTTTCTGAGTAACATGAAGCTGATTTAAAGCAACATCTGGCCAAAGACAGTGTCTATGAATTATGTCTACTTAATGAAGAAAATGTGAAAGATTTCAATATAGAGAAAAATATTAAGAGATAGTTACATTTTTGAAATATTTCACAGCTGACAAGAAACACCATTTAATTACTATTAAAACTGACCTTTATTGGAAGCCATATGGCTAACTGGATTCAGATCACAGTTTGAGGACAGTGTAAAGTTCCCAGCCCTTATGAACAGGTAAAAGCGATCTGTCACATTGGTTAATGGAGAGCTCTCCATTAACCAATGTGACACACCTGAGGAATTTGGGCTCAGAGACACTGCTCCCAGAGCACAACCAGCTTGAGAGAAGCGATTTGAGCATCACAAACAGAAGGCTTGCATATGCTCGAATTCACTTTTCTGTTCCTCTCTTAACCAGAGACTCCTTCGGAAGAAGCATTAAGGCCTATGCTTATCTGAAAACACACACACACACACACATATATATATACATATATATATGAATATACATACACAAAAATATTTTTACATATACATGCAAAAAATACCTATGTTTAAGGAAAAGCTTTAAAATTATAGGGCTAATTTCTGTTCTGCAGTGGGAAAAGCAAGGAACAGAAACAAGATCTTTGTTGCTGTCAGGTCTTCTGTATTCACTTTTCCCAATTTCCATCAAATTCTTTTGTAAATTGATACCAACTTATTTTTAAAAATTCTTAGTCATAGGTTCATGTTCATATAGACTTTTCTTTTATGCCTCATCCCCCTCTTTTTCATTCCCAATTATAGTGTTGGCTCTCTAATATATTATCTAGAATAGAGTCTGGGTTATTCCAGTCAGTCCATCAAGTCTCATTTTCTGTGATGAATTTTCTGGGGAACTGATTTTTTAATGTTGTTGCATCTTGGTCACAATAGCTTCTGCTTGGTAGTGAAACAAGAACAGAAAGTTGGGATAATGTCATCCCTGCTGCAATTTGAGAGAAACACCAGAGTTGCATCAAGAATTAGTTTAGACCAGGGTGTTCAACCCAAATAAACAATTACTACAGGGACTACATTAAGTAGAAAAATATCTGAAGGTAGTGAAATAGCGTAAAAAAACAGGACACAAAATAAATGTTTTGGGCTTTCCAAAACACAGTCCAACATTCTTCTCATCTTAGTTCCTTGCCAAACAATGAAAGCCCTCTTTTCCTGAAAATGACTGCATAATTTAAATGTTTTTCTTCTTTTATTTTTTCCTCAGTGAGACAAAAACAACAGCAAAGGAGAGTTCTCATACAAAGACATATCATTTTTTGTTTTAAAAGATGGAAAAAACAAGGGATATTATGGTCACTAAAATATGTCTAGAAGGCACAAATTTAGAAATTTGTCAGCAGTGGTGATACAGAATTAAGTAACCTTAGAATTTAATTTCCAAAAATTGCTGTTGTCTTGTGGGTAAGGAGTACAAATCCCTGAAAAGCCCCATCATTTTTAAAACCACATATAAGGCAGCCTTATAATCATTGACTGATTCTTGCGCTCTGTTGATGGAAACAATGAGATCAACCATGAAAATAATGCCCTAAAGATTTCATGCTTGAAAAGACAAAGACAGAGAGAGAGAAAGAAAGTTTCACTTTGCGTTTGATTTTTCCACCCAACTTTGCAGGAGTTCAGGGTTCGGACTTATGGTGGAGTATGTGCAATCAGTAAAGTGACAGCTACTCTTTCACCCTTGGGCAGCAAATGGAAATGTAGCTTGTTTATAAGCCAAATTCTAAAAATAGCAAGTATTTCTTTTAACATGGCAGAATAGTGTGACTCATGCATCATTCTGACATAAACATGACATCTGTTGCAGTCAAGTCATTATATCCAAATCCTGAAGTCAGATGCAGTTTGACCATTTTCAAAACTGCTTATCAATCTATAAAAATTATTTGAGCATCAGTAGAAAAAATAACAGCAATCTGGAGATAATTTCCCAAATATTGCATGTGCTGGTTTTATTAGGACCTGAAATTTGAGCTATTAATTCAAACAGTGAAGTTATAAACAGGTTAAAAACAACCCACAATCTCTCATGTCATGCTGTTATATAAACTTAGATGCCTGGCCATCCTGATAGCTTATTTTATGGTTAATGTACAGAATTTCATGGGGCACCTATTACTGCCATAGTACAGGACAGGACACTGAGTAAACAACTAGCAGCCTCTTTGCCTAACCTGTCCATCTCTAAAATGGAGGTGAGGATAATGCTTTTTATGTGGCCAATGTCTCCCCTTCTGAGCAGGAGCTTTCAGCATTAGCTTTCCAAAACTCAGGTCTCTAAGATGGCTGTGAGCAGTTATAGCTAATTGCCCAAGATTGCTTTGTAGTGGATGGAAAGAGATAGGCACTTTCAGGGACAGCTCTCTGAGCAAATGAATCACCTTTTCAAAGGATCTCCAGATGGCTATTAAATGAGTCCAGGTGAAGAGTTTAGACCTGTATTTTTCAGGTTGAAAAAGGGCTGAAGCAGACCGGGGCAGGGGGAGGAGCCTTGAGGGTATGTCCAACATTGTCCCAGGCTTGGTCAGCATTTTGCATATAAATCACCTTCTCTTTGTACACTTTTGTTATTGATATGTTGCTGTTACTGTTTGTTTCCTTAGCTCATTGCTGGTTCCAGTAAATTGTTCTTGTCTCAACCTGATCTTTGCTTTTTGTGTCTCCCACTGGAAGGCACGTAGGGGAGCAGCTTAAGGATTTCTTTGTAGTGGGATTACTAAATTGGGGAATACCCTTCCTAAACCATGATATTTGTCCCTCTGAAAAAAGTGTAGATGCAAAAAGCAGAGTGATTTTTATTACTATACCCACAAGACTGTTATTACTGAGTTGTTTTCAGCAGACTGACATAATGGAGAAATTAAGATACAGAAATACTGGCCTTTCCATGTGTCCTGTTCCACTTCTTAACATTGTCTGAGCTGTTTCATCATGTCAAATTTTCGCTTCCTAAAGATTTTTGTTTTTAGAAAACTTTCCATCTTTGCAGCTGGAATTTAATAAGTCAGTGAAAGTCCGTGAAACCAGATTAACTTCAAAGTAATTTAAGGAAAAAATTAAGTGAACTATAGTAGCAGTTGCTTTAATTTGGACTGAGCAGCTCAATGCGGCAGTGAAGAGAAGCTCCAGTACCCTCCTGCAGAACCACAGACATCAGCCAGTACCATAAAATAAGTACCCAAGCCTCCTGGGCTGGATGTTCCCTGTCAGCTCATTGCCAGGGTGTCAGTGCCTTCTGCCAAGGTCTAAATAAGACATGTAAAACCAAGGTAGGCTGGAATGAATAGGCCATGGAATGCAAGGCTTTTGAGAGCAGGTGGAGCCTGAGAGGTGAGTCCTGTGTTTCTCCTCAAGGACAATTCAGAATTGTGTGTCCTCAAGTGTAACTTTTATACAAGTAGCCTCAAAAAGTGAATGTGGGGAAGGTCAGTCTGAAACAGAAAGACTGAAATCTACTGTTTTCATAAGGAGACATTTAGGAGAGCTGACTCTTATTATGCACTACACTGACCTCTTTTATGTGAGCTATGGTGCAAAATAAAATAATAGGATGGAGTTCTTCGAAGGACTCTCCAAGGTTTCCCAGTATTCTTTCTAAGGTCTTCTAAATTCACTTTCAGAATCTGTGAGATGAAAAAAACATTGAAAACACAGAAAAAACTCTCAGGTTACCAAGTGGATCAATAAAAGTTTTAGGAAAATAAAAGTAAGTAAGCAGTCTCCTTATTTACATCATCTACATATTAATTCTAATCAAATATTTCCTTTATACTTATGTTAAAGTGACAACTAATTCTATATTTAAGGGAGCAAATCACTCACCATGGGATCATTCTGTGAAGTTCTCAGTCATATGACAAAACTATTTGGCTGGTATCTGTCTTTAACCATCATTAATGCCTACCTAAAACACCAGCAGTGGCATTTTGGGTAGCGCAGCATTTTTTGACTTAAATTTTATTGAGTTTATGGCAAGTAAAGACCCAAACCTTTCCCTCATCCAACTGTACAGATAACTTTCTGAACCCCACACATGAAGAAGAGCAGCTCCCAGTCCCATTCCCAGTTTGAGGAGCTTAATGCTTTCAGGAAAATTTTTCGCTGTAGAGATGAAAAAACAATAACAGCACCAACAACCAAACAAAAACCCATTACATAGTAAATAAATTCAAGCCCAGAAAGAAAAGGTGTTTGCACTCTTCCACAGTGCTGCATCTTATTAAATTTTCTGGATGATGCCTTTCAATGTCTCTTTTTTAGGAAAATTATTGTAGTTTCTTATTAAATCCATACTAGTTTTTCTGTCAGGCTCACGGCCACTTTCATGACACCTAGCTCACCAAGGTAAGCATTTAACATTATTTCCATCATCTCCTGGAGTTTTCTGTCTGATGGAAATTGTGCAGCTGCACACAGGGGCTAGATTATAGAGAGAGCAGGTTTATAGGAAAATGGACTAATAAAAGTTTCAGGTCAGAAAGATGAGGGAAGTAAGGAAGAAAGTGGTGATTACTGGTGGTTTGGGGTGCAAGAGGACTGGGACCCACAGGGCACATCTACGTGGATCTGGGGTCAGATCTAGGGCCTTCATTCAACAAGGAGGGGGGAAATATAAAACCATGTGGGCAATGAAATTTAAAAACTGCAGCCACTGTAAGCCATCACTTCTTTCCATTGTCTGAAGTGCCTCCAGGGACAGTATTTGATCGCTGTTGTTATTTGTGTTGGGACTTTGTTCACCTTATCTGAAATATTAATAACTTGCAAGAGATCCTGAGGATGCTTGAGTCTGAGGTGTTAATTAAGAGAGTGAAATGAAATCTCATCATCTAATAACAATACACTGGGAAGTCTCCTGTCTCCACACAGGTTCTTCTAACAAAAGGAAAGGATTCATCCTCTGTTCTTCTACAAATATTTACTGCTTTGTATTTTCTGACACATAAACCCAGTGAGAATTTGGTGCTAGAAAAAAAGTATTTTCATGATCCATATTTGGAAAATGCCATATTCTTTCCAATCCTTTGCATTTTATCAAGCAACAATATTTTTTAATTTCCCTTATCTAATTTATAAAAATAGTTCCTTAAAATAAAATTACTGGCAATGATTTTCTTGCAACCCACTGTTAACATGATTTGCTTCATTAGGAATGATTAGCAGAAGTCCAATCGTTGCTCAGTAAGCAATAAAATCTAATTTATCACTTCAATAATACGACTTTGCGGGACGCCGAACAGTGGGAAATTTTTAAATCGGGAGAAAAAGAACACATTTTCCTCATATAGACAATGACTGAAACTTTCAATGTCATTTCTTTAGAAAAGAAAAACGTAAAAATACACTTGAATTGGAGTGCAATTGTAAAGCATAATTATCCCAGATGTCTTTTTTCTTTGATGATTATTAGTCTTTTAAGATTGCAGATATTGAAGAAAAGTGCTTGTCTTTCTTTTATTGACCAAACTACAAGGAGATATTTTAATCTGCGAAAGCAAATCATCCAAATAATCTGAAAATCAAAATATTCAAATTTAAAATTAATCTTCTCTGCGTTCATGCGTCATCTAGGAACATCTCTTTTCTCATTTTCCTGACATGAGTGCCTGAGGATGTATAAGGTTTATGGTTTTACAGCAACCAAAAATTAAAAATTGGGAAAAAAATGAAACCGTGAAGTTTATCTAAACAGATACTGAAGGTTCTTGTCAGGAACATAAAAAAATTCCAAGCTCCTTGTGTTGCTACTGAAAGAGAAATTTGTCTCCTACCTGAATCAGAAGAGGTCACAGTAAACAAGGCTTGGCTACTGTGCTAATCAGAATAGAATTTTAATTTCATGAAAAGCATTCAGAAACACTATATATTATTATTCATCTAGGATTTATTTGAAGTGGAGAGTTTTATCGCTATGAGTGTGCTGGTTTATTTAAAGTGATACCAGTCTTTCAGCATGGAATAAAGCACTTATCCTAGTATATGTTGGTTCAATTTATTGATATTTTCATGCAGCCAAGCACTAGAAGAAGCAAAATGTAACAGTTGCCAACACATTACATTTCTATCTCCTAAACCACATACCACCACTAATAAGTCACTGTAATTGCCATCAAGTTTAAGATAGTAGTTTCTATATTAAAGTTACTATTAGTTAGATTTTTTGCCTTCTGTCTGTCCCTGATTTTCAAAGGTGTATTGAGCTGTAGTTCATGTTCTGCGAGAAAGGGGCAGGGTAACCTGAGAACTTTTGGATCTTCCTTCCCAAATGTGACAGGATCTCTAATAAAGCCAAGACCAAACAAGCTCTGCCATTACAGAGGAACTGAGGGTGCAAGGGTTGCCTCTGACCAGGCACTCAGGGAGAGAAGAGTGAGGGATGCATAAATAGGGAAAGGGAAGAAAGGAAGGAAAGGAAAGAAGCTCTGCTCTTCTAATATTTCGTCTCTATTTTCTTCCATATCCTCTGTCCTGCTCAGAAGATGTCTGTCTGAACTTGAAAATTATTAAGAAAAAAAGAGTATCTGATAAGAGTGAAATTTGGAACAGGTCAAGAAGCACCAGCTTAGTTTTATTAGAAACTCAACTAAGACAAACTGTTGGAAATGCTTCTGAGACCCAGGCTGGGGAGCGGAGCAGGAAGAAATAATTGGGGTGAAGGGAACCCCTTTGGTGTGAAAACTTCTACCTAAATTAGAGAATCAAAATCCTGAAGATAATAAGAAAAACCTTCACTCCCACTGACTGCCCTTTGACTGGTTAACACAATGCTTTGCTACTTGGGATACTGAAAAATTTAGTCCTTAACTTGAAAGCCTTTGTCCTAAGAGCAAGATTTGAAAATGAGAATAAGCCTGCCCAGGAAATCCAGCCTTCTGCATAGCTCGGGGAATGGGTAGTGATTGTTCTTTGATGTTCAGTCTCTTGGAAGGCAACTTAGATCACATTTGTCCTTCCTCCTGCCTGTGGCATTCCCTTCTAAGAGAGTTGGCCTGCTTAAATTTTAGCTTTGAATTAAGAAGTTCAGTGAAGGAGCTTTAAAATTTGTTCCCAATCTGACTTTGAAAGTCAACGTTCAGCTTCAAAAGGAAATCTAGCTGTCCATGAACACTTCCAAGCCAAACAGCTAGGCAATGCTGAAAGAAGAAAAAAGGCACTTTGGCTTATTTTTGTGTATATGGAGAGAAGAAAGGAGGAATCAAATAAGAAAGCAAAGAAGGTAGGGAAATTTTGGGAGAAAATATAAAAAAATAAAAAAAAGAAAGGAAAAAAAACAAAGCCAAAAAATGAGAGGAAAGAGAACTGCTGTGATAAATACAAATTGAGCTCCATAAGGAAAAAAAGCTAAGAGGATACACTAAGGTGTCCACTTTGAGGCACAGTGTATCAAACTGCCCTTCACAGGAGTAACTTGGTTCATCTTTGTGGAAAGCTGCAGTAGAGTGAGAGCAAAGTGAAGAATTTATTATCATTTTCTCTTTTTCCTCAGACAGTTCTTGCCCTGCTCTTCTCTTACTACTAAAACATTACATGACACTTTGGTAGAAGACTAGCTATTTATTGCCTCCCAGGTGGGCTGTTAACATTACTTTTAACCTGAAATACTCTGAATCACCAACCTCTCACCCAGAAAACCACCTTCTCTGTGCACCTTGACTGCTCTCCAAATGTGCCATAACTTGGATGTGTTCTCCAAACCATGAGATGGACACCTCACATTTTATAACAGCATGTCCTTTGTGAGGGTCATCCTTCTGCTGACAGCAGGGAGCCCTGCAGAACATTTGCTGCAGCTGGAAACACATTAGTCTGTTCTGTGCTTCTAGGTTATTCCCGATGGATGTAACTAAGCAGATGGATGATTGGAAGAGTGTGAAGACATTTCGTAGTTTTGTATTTAATGGGTGTTTATGCAGTTGGAAGAAATCAATACAGTAAGCATGTCATCTCAAAATACTCAAATCAGTAAATATTTCATCCCAAATACTATACCCCCAGCTAAAGATTATTCCAGCTGGGATATCACTTCTTGAATACTCGAATAGTTAGCTGTCTCAAGATACTTCAGAGAAATACAGAACTAGTGCAGAATTAGGATTTTTCTTCCAAATGATCTCTGTGTAGTCTCATCCCTTCTCATCAACATGAAATAAGACCTAAAATTAAAATGGTGAAAGACTTGATGGTTACTATAAGTACCCAGTATGGCACTGTCTGAGCCACTTCAACCATGAAAGAACCACATGGGTTGGAGATAGTGCCCAAAGAGCACAGCAATGTCACTTCTTGACACAAATGCAGCATTCATTCTGGCAGTAATGTGTGTGGGTCAGCTTTAACTTGTGCCCCTGCTCTTCTTCCTGCACAGTGCAGGCACATTGTGAGCTGTGCAGCACAGTTTTACATGTGTCCTGTCTTGGGGACTATTTAGAAATACTCAGAAAAAAAAAACACTACGGAGGATTTTCAGACAGAAGAAGGTATTGCCCCTGTTTTGGCTCTATTGCAATTATCCAAGCCTGACTTTGCAGAAGTTTCCCCGAAGGACAAGGTGTAGCTAAATCACTAGAACATGAAGAAAATGAAAAATGGTGCCTCTCCTGACAGTGAAAATGAAAGAGAGAAG